TGATGCGCGCGACATGGACGACTTAAGGTCGCGATCAGCGTCGTTGGGAGTTCAAGATGCCGTCGGGGACAACCTCGTAATCAAGTGGGCCGAGACGTCGAACCACACTGTATGGTCTGAAGTACCGTTGCAGAAGCTTTTCACTGAGTCCACGTCGAAATATCGGCGTCCACACCCAAACAAGTTCACCGGGCTGGTATTCCACGAAGCGTCGTCGAAGATTGTAACGGCGGCTGTCGGTTGTCTTTGATTCTTGATACGGAAACGCGCGAGTTGTCGGGCTTCTTCGGCTCATTGAAGGTACTCACTCACATCGAGGTTTTCTTCATCGGTGACGTTGGGTAACATGGTATCTAGCGTCGTTGCCGGGCCACTTCCGTAGACCAATTTGTATGGAGATATCTGCGTCGTCTCCTGCACCGCCGTGTTGTATGCGAAGGTCACGTACGGAAGAATGGCGTCCCACGTCTTGTGTTCGACATCAACGTACATTGCCAGCATGTCGGTGATCGTCTTGTTAAGCCTCTCGGTGAGGCCGTTGGTCTGTGGGTGGTACGCTGTCGTCCGACGGTGGTTTGTACTTGGCTCGGAGCGGTGAGAAGTTTTTCTTTTGGAGAAGACCGTTTGCAGGAAGAACGACGCCAGTGCGCGCTTGAATACCTTCAGGACTTCGGCAGTCCTGCGTTCGAGGTATTCTATTAGCGCCTTAAGTTCCGGGTCGGCCCGCTGTCGTTCAGCGAAGTCGTCAGCAGTTATCGTTCCCAAGAAGTAGCCGTCATCCGGGTCCTCGTGCGGTGGTTTGGCGACAGGCGCAGGAGAGAGAGTCGGCGTTCGGAGTGTTTCTTGCCGGACTTGTAAATGACGGTAATGTCATATTCTTGAAGTCTCATGCTCCATTGTGTGAAGCGACCTGAAGGGTCCTTCAAGGTGGCTAGCCAACACAAGGCTTGGTGGTCAATCACAACTTTGAAGGGCCTGCCGTAGAAGTAGGGGCGATATTTCAACGTAGCCCAGATGATGACGAGGCACTCCTTTTCTGTTGTGGAATAATTGGCTTCTGCTTTGGATAGCGATCGGCTGGCGTAACTAATAACCCTTTCAAGTCCGTCAGCCCTTTGCACAAGAACGATGCCGAGACCTACGCTGCTTGCGTCAGTGTGTATTTCTGTCTCGGCGAATTCGTCGAAACGGGGAAGTAACGGAGGCGTCTGGAGGCAATGTTTAAGCTCCTGGAAAGCGTGTTCCTGCGGCGTTTCCCACTTGAACTCTACGTCGGTCTTGGTAAGGTTGGTGAGTGGATCGGCAATGCGGGCGAAGTTTTTCACTAACCGCCTATAGTAGGCGCAAAGACCCAGAAATCGGCGCACCGCCCTCTTGTCAGTTCGCGGCGGGAAGTCGGCGATGGCGGCTGTTTTCCGTGGATTGGGACAAACTCCAGACTTGCTAATCACGTGCCCCAGGAACAAGAAGTCCTCGTACGCAAATCGGAACTTTTCTGGCTTCATTTCGAGTCCGGACATCTCGATGGCTTGAAGTACAGCTTCAAGGCGCCAAAGATGCTCGTCGAAACTCGAGGAATATATGACGATGTCGTCCAAGTACACAAGGCAAGTCTGCCACTTCAATCCAACCTGTACCGTATCTATAACGTGTTGAAAAGTTGCAGGCGTGGAGCAAAGACCGAAGGGCATCACCGTCAACTCAAAGAGGCCGTCCAGTGTTATAAACGTGGTCCTCTCTCGGTCGCTTTCGTCGCCTTGATTTGCCAATAGCCAGTCTTGCGCAGATAGCAGTGAACGGAGTGTCGGCCGTCGATCAACTACTGACAAGCGGCGAAGTGCGTCGCCATTTACACTCTTGCCATCGAATGTTCTAGCGTTATTGCTGGCGGTGACGAGTGTTCCAGAATATTCTGTACAGTTCGCGGAGTGGGTTTGATCTTATCGAATTGATCTACTACAGTCCCGAAGCTTCTCGAAAACTGCAGGCGCGGTTTGCGCTGAGAGTTGTGTAGTGTATTGGGGCGACAACAAAGCTTGAGGAATGGAACGTGGCAATAGATAGATAGATAGATGGATAGGTTCAAAGTGTTTGCAGCACGCGAAGGAATCCCTCGCTTTAAAAAACAACTGTAGGAAGCTTGCGATGGCACAAACAGGGAGTGCGTGCTCTAGGCAACGTTTGAATAAGTGGACTTGTCTTCTTCAAGGCAGGAGCGTATTTTGGTTCTAGCCTGAAGGACACAGATAAGCTCTTTTTCTTTTTTTTCAAACTTTATTGTTATTTTTCTCTACATGGAGGTCCTACTTCGGAGAAAACAAGTCCACTTGTGGAATTTTTAGCTCGAGCACGCACTTCTCATTTACAATTTTTCAGAAAAGTCAAAGAAGAAAGAACTTGTTGCTAGCACAGCTGTTCATGCTAGTCGTCCTTCGCTATCGACAAACGGAAAATTATCGTCGTGATTTTCTGGCACGTGCTATCCTCTTGGTCTTTCTCTTCGCTCCTAGAACACGCGCACCAACTTTTTCGCGTGAGAGGAACAATCTTGAAGGCTGACAAAGAGAGAGAGAGAGAGAAAAATAGAAAGGAAGAGGCAACAAGGGACAGAATTTGGCCCGTATCTGCATGTTACACCGCAAATGTCGTCGAAAGACGATAATCTTGAGTCTGTAGAGAGTGAACAAAACCTTTATTTATTGTTCCCCGCAAGAAAATCGGTGAAGGGTATTCTGGAGGCACTGCGTTAGAGTGCCTCGAGCGTGCAGCGGAGGCGAACGAGAGCATCAAGTGACGTCACACGTGAGACATGAGCGCTATCTGGCAGTTATTCTGGAAAACGGGGCGCACGCCGTGCGCTGCCAGTCTCTGAGGTGATAAGGTGTACAACGCAAGGCGACGGGTAGGTGCCACCATAAAGTTTCCCAATATACTCTAGAGGGAACTCTGGTGCTAGTGTCTATGGGAGCTGCAATGCACAGCGCTTCAGTGAGCATGGGAATGATGGGTAGTACACACATTTTTCTAAACTTCGTTTTTCTGGCCTGCTCTTTGCTCCGTGTGTGTTCGTGTGGCTTGAAGCTGTTTTTTCACGAAACAAAAATCAGCAAATGTTCAGGGATTGGGCTCTATTTTTTTTTCGAATTACCTTTCCAAATTGGGTCACGAAGTTCGAAAGAGTTGAATCTTTCTTTCAAAACAAAATCGAAACACAGCAATAAACGAAGCCGCAAGTACGATTCGCCTCCCGCAATTACGAAGACTAGGCAAATGTGTGTACTACAAATCATTCCCATGGTCGCTGAACGATCGCAGCGCCAGAGTGCCCTCTAGTTAATTTTGAGAAACTCTATGGGTGCCACCACCTTGTCGTCTTAGCAAAGCGTTGGAAACACTTGCCGTTTCGTGCAAGCACTGCATGGCCGGCGCAGTGATACAAAGGCTGCGATCCTTATTATGTATGCCTTTTCCAGTAAAAAATACACATACATATAAAGACGTGTTGTTACGGTGCCTCAGATATGCGCAATATTTGCTTTTTAATTGACAATCGCACAAGTATGAACTCTGAACCTTGAGCAGTATTGGTGGGTGCTGCGGATGGGGTCGGCCGTTTGGAGTATCGCTTGGTCACTTTGGTGCCGTTTAAGGGACGGTTAAGGGTTGACAAACAGACAAATGTACAGACACACACAGATAGACAGACCAACAAACAATTTTGCGTCGAAGGTCCCCGAGAAAGACTATCGTCTTTAATACGACAGAAATTGCTGGCGGGAAAAAAAACCCCTTGTGCAGGCAGCACTCGAGCTTGCACACTTGCGATCCGAAAGCGAGCGTTATAACCACGCGGCTATCCCTGCCCGCCAGGGGAGAATAACGTAGCCTTGTATAGTATAGCATACCAAAATGTTGTGAAAGGGAAGTGAATGCTAAAAAGGAGAAATGTGAGGGTCGCATGGGCAATCGTATGACGCACAGCACAGGATTTTACAGAGAAAGCTGTTATGAGATCACAACTCGGGTCACGCGCAGATGTCCGCCGCCGAAGCCACTGCCGCCTGTGCCCGTAACCTCATCGCGCGAAATTTGACAGAGTGGGGCTCGAACCCGGGTGCCAGCCCAGTATTTTACCACTGAGCAACGCCGGTGCTTGTGATTTGTTGTAAAAATTGCCTTAGGCAGGCTTGACTTAGCACCAATGACACAGTGGAGCTCGAACCCGGGTTCACTGGGTGCTTAGCACCAATGACACAGTGTAGTTCGAACCCGGGTCCACTGGATGCCAGCCCAGTATTCTACAACTGAGCTACACTGGTGCTTGTGACTTGTGTTCAAACTTGCCTTACGCAAGCTTGATGTAGGGAAAGCAATCGCGTTATTACGACTTATAGAGATTTTAAAACTGCGAAAGAACTACCAGTCTTCGCACAATGCGAATGGCGTAATGAGTGGGACGTTCGATGCTCCAACCCAATACAAAAGCTTGTTCTTGTTCCCTGTTAACTGTGGCACGTACCCACTTCAGCCATACTTCCTCATCGTCGTCAGTCACTGCATGAACAATTGGCACAAACTTCCTCGCAAGTGTTAAGCGGATACAACGGTTCTCAAAAGAATGACGAAGAATACTATAGTGAATGCCGGCCTACTACCCAAATAAATTTATCAAAAATGACCTAGTGGGTATCAAACAAGCGCGTTCGCAGTAGTCACCCATTGAGTGTTTCGAAAAGACTTTAAAAGGCCGCTCTTCTAGCTTTCGCTGTGACTTTGCTGCGCCTTCCACGCAGGCCTGGCGTTTTTTGGCAGTAAAAAGTTTTCCAATGCAGCTTCAGCTGCGTGATTTTGAGTTGTATTATCCTCTATTTTAACCTGCGCCGCACTTTAAACTTCTCCACCGGAAGCTTTTGATTTAGCAGGTATAGCTGCTCTGTAGGAAGCCTCTCGAATGAAGAAGAAGAAGAAGAAGAAGAAGTGGTGGTCGTGCAGTAGCAAGCAATGCAAAGTCATCGAGAATTCTTGTGCTGCGTCTGCTGCGTTTTCGGTAAGCATCTCCAATGACACGCCAGAAAGCGTAAACGTTCGTTTGTGGTTGCGAGAAACGTGTTATTAGGAAAACAAAACATTGGCTGCTAACGGTAGCGCTTTTGTCGTGTTCGTGATTTAATTTCAGCGGCACCTGCCATTTAGGCGACATGTCGCGCAAACGTATGAGCGTGTTTCACGGTGTCTCCAATTGATCACATTTCTAATAGCTGATCTTATCACCCAAGAAAGGGATTTCAGTATGTCCAAAAATACAATTTTCTGCATTCAAAGCAATACCTTCACTCTGTGCCCTCGCTAGCGCTTAGTGCAGTCGTTCATCATGTTCCTTTTTGCTAGAGCCCCACACAATCACATCGTCGCTATAGACGCGCGTTCCAGGGAGATCACCGAATATTTGGCTCATGGTACGCTGGAAAACTTCGGATGCACATGCTATCCCAAACGGCAACCTGAGATACCGATAACGACCGAATGGGGAACTGAATGTTCAGATTTCGGAAGTCTTTTTATCTAGAGCAATCTGGTAGAAACCACTGTTTGCATCAAGTCTGCTGAAATGCTTCGCTTGCGCTAGCTCACCCTTGATTTCTTCGTGGCATGGCTAGTGAAAGTGTTTTGTTTTCTCTACCCTACTAATGGCTCGTGGGTCCACGCAAACTGTTATGTGTCCATTTTTCTTCCTTGCTATAACCAAGGGACTAGTCTTTTCTGATGATTTCCCCACTTTCTCGATGATGTTCGCCGCACACATCCGGTAGAGCTCTATCTTGAGTGACTTTCTTAGTGCATAAGGCACACGCCGGGTCGGCTGTAACACAGAGAAGGCGTCTTCCCGAAGCACCATTTTGTACTCGCGCTGCGTCCTACCAATTCCAGTGAATAACCTCGTGTACGTCTGCTTCATTCTTGCGTATCCGTTGCTGTCATCCACCGCTTTGCTCTATTGACGAGACCAAGTTTTTCGCTAGCCTCGAGGCCCAGGATGGCTTGCCTCTTTTTTACGATGAAAAACTCGAGCAGTACACGTCACTGGTCTAACTGCGTGGTGAGGTGAGCCTTTCCATAGTGTGGTATTTCGCCACCTTCACAATGACGCAAGGCGCTCCTTGTGGGGTACGGCTGCTGCCTGGTACCAAGCCTGTTGAACAGTGAACGTGGCAGTAAGTTAGCCTGCGCTCTGGTATCGACCTTCAGCTGCACCACCTTTCCTTCAATGCTCGTTGTTACAGTCCAATCGCGACTTTCACAGCCACGCTTGCTTTCTGTCGTCCTGATCTCCAGATCATTACGTCGAAGTCGCCGTCACTCTCGGTTGCGTTGACGACGTCCTCAGCAGCTGCTCGCTTGTTCATACAGCAGGTGGCGAAGTGGTTGGGCGTCATGCAATTGTTGCGTATTTTCCCGTGCGCCGGACACTTTCTTGGCGCGTGCGACAGGTTGTAGTACCGGCATTTTTTTTTCGCCCCTTTTTAACTGGCATTCTTGAGATTGGTTCAATATTGGTTTCTTCCGCCCACGCCTTATTGTGCGATTCAGCAAGTTCCTCAGCTTTGCAGTATTCTTCTGCTGTGACAAGGTTCAGGTCTTTCTTGCGAAGAAGTTTTTCACGCAGGGAAGCACTAGATGTTTCATAGATAATTTGGTCTCTCAGCATGGAGTCCTATAAATCACCGATGTTGCACGTTCTTGATTTTAGCTTGGAAGTTCCCAAATAACTGTTAGAGTACTTGTCCATAGGCCTGACGACGCCAGCGAAACACACAGCGCATAGAGAAACATACCTACATAAAGAGCGGACACTCCCGTAGGGCCCTGTGGCCGAGCTACTGCGCTGCTTTCAACGGCACGAGTGATTAGTCAGACCCGATAATGTCTTCAGCATAAATAAAATAACAAACTTTTTGTTTTCCGACGCTCGGACTTGAACCCGTACCCCAATGCCCTGAAATTGAGTGTATTTACCACTAAGCTACATAACCATGCTTCCACATAGGGAATACATTTACAGCGCATCTAAACCACACGAATGTGCCTCTTTGTGCAAAAGAAGTGCAGGAAGACAACACTTTCTAGCCCCACTTTACTGTTTTCTGTTGTAAGACATCAAATTTCCTCAGCGGGACATGATGTAGAGCGGATATGAAAAATTGCGCAAATTAATCAAATGTCTTTTTTGTAAGAAATTGGTGCCAAACTTGGGTATTCATTGTCTTTCTGAGGAGGCTATTGCATGTCTTAAATAAGGAGTAAAAGCAAGGATGGGCACGTCATCTAGCATTTGGCCAGACCCTTTCTTGCTGGGCTGCGGAAAGGCTGCAGTGGTCACTCTTTATTCAGTAAATTTCTCTATGCATAGCGTTCATAAGTCTCGTTGCACTTGGGCAAGCAGTATGCTTCGAAAATTATAACTAAAGTGTCGTAGTCTTCAGTTTCCGCTGGCGTGAGATTCGTGGTATTGATCACTTGAATTGCTTCTTGGCCAGCGACGTGCAAAAAAATGCAGCTTTCTGCTTCTTACTGCGTGGTTTGACGGGCTCCGTTGCTATGAGGTACGGATAGATGCGTTGCTTGAACAATTCCAGGACGTCGCTGCATTGTCACCCAATCGCTGTGGCTCGGGCGGGCGTAGTTCAGTCATGTTGGCGTCCCACTTCTGACACCATGTAACGAGCGTCTTGGAGAGAGCGTCTGCGCACGATGGTGGTCATAAGAAGACTGGTTTATTGATACAAGCGCAATGGTAGCGTACAAAATTGCCAGGCGTTGCTCTAGGTAGCATCAGTGTTGTCCTGTTGACTGCCCGTTGCAGCGCGTACTTGTTATGGCTGATTAATTAGTCTGATATTCAATCACACACAAAGGGCACTTGAACATCATGGGGCATAATCTGATTATTCAAAACTAAGCTGATGAGGCAGCGCCAAGGTAAGCATAGAAAAGTCCGACTAAGCATGGTTGATCGTGAATCATTGAATCAGTCTGATTATAACTAGGTGTAATTAAGCACGTTATGATGAAATACATATAAAGTTATTGAAGTGAAATGTCTTTGAGCTCAGAGAATCCAAGCTGAGAAAGATAATAAACATTGATCACCGAGTCTAGTCTCAAGGCGAAATTAAATTTATGCGCCCTAAATCTAGTTTTAATTATGTCTGCGTACTTATTCGCACTTGGTTCACCATAACTAGGCTGATTTAAGCTCAACTTAGCCTAGTTCAAGAAAGACAAGCTGAGCTGAGAAAACAATTTTGTGCGTTTGGCTTCTTCAGGTTTTGATAGGCTGGCTACGCTTAGTTTTAAATCAACCGGCATAAATAACTACAGTAGCTCGGCACTGAAATAGGCGTTGTCACAGCCGCTACATAAAGAGAGAAAAAAAAATTGGGCGACCCTTAAGCTCCGCCTTGAGGAGTTGAACGCGATAGCGAAATCCTGCCCCTAGTGCACCCTTGAACCTCTAAGTGCATACTTATTATTATGTTTTGCTACGTACACACGCACGCACACAAACATGAACACAGTAAATTGGACAAGCACGCGCTATTATCGCCGAATGGGCTCGTTTTTGTCACGACACCTGTCGAACAAAATGCGTTAAAGGGGCCCTGAAACACTTTTTCAAGTAACCATAGAATGAATTCACTAGAAGAGCTTATTGTCTCACGAATTCAACGCCCAAAAAATTCTAAGGATCCTTCGAGTGCGAGTGGAGTTACAAAGGCTTGTCGCATGCTGCAATTGCATTATCTCTTCTCTCGTCCCGACGAAAGCGCTGGAAGCTAAGCAGGGAGGGGTGGCAGGGCAAAGAAACTACCGCGCCTCGTGACTTTGAGCACTTTTGTTTTCTTCGGACGCGCGGCTTTATCAATGTGATCGCGGGCACACACGTGGACAAGTAGCGACCTCCCGTGGCTATCTTGGTAACATGATTTTTCGGTCACAGACGCACAGACGATTTTTAGCTCACAACCAACGGGGTCGACGTCAGCGGTGGGTTTTCTGCGACACGAGCTCTCTTACGCTATCGCGTTAAAATGGCGCAAATTTGATGGAGCGAAGACAGTGACACCCAGTTTTTGTTTTGACTACAAGCGCGTTGGAGAGAGTGGCATGAGAGGCCAACTGATACGACGGGACGCGCATGCGCACCGCAGCAGGCGTCTGGTCACTAGATGGCACGTCGATGCCTTCAGCCATGCGATTCCGTGGTCTCCACACTTACGCACCTGCCTGTACGTTGCATGTGGTTACTTCCCTATCAGAGAAATAGAGCTGCGCTTAACATGCGTGGTGCACCTAATTCATTGGCGCAATGATGCTGCTGGCCACAGAAACATAGTGTTGGCAGTAATAGGATAACAGGGATATGAATAAATGAGCTGGGGCTTGACTCTGGTTATCGTAGACACCGAGGAGGACTTTTAGTTTTGCGGTGAGTAACAATAACGGTTCACATACGCTTAGCCCATGCTATACCGCTCATGGCGGAAATACGATTCTTTACACGATTGCGTAAGGATCATGAATGTAATTCACGAGAACAAACAAAGCTTTCTGCAAACATGGAATGCCAAGCTAAATAAAAGAAAGTTTCTGCTTTGCATTGTCGTCCAGAGGAATGTTTCATAGATGCAAATTGTCCTCTAGTAGCATTTTTTTTCTGTGTGACTCTTCTCAAACAACGTATTTTAATATACAATATTAAAAAGGTGACTTCAGACGAGCACTTCAATTCCTCTTCTTGGCAAGAACTGCGTCGTTCAACCTTGAAAATGAAGAAAAAGAATGTCTATGATTTCGCTCCGGTGTCCAACATGATATTGCGCTCGTTTTTACGCTTATTTGGTTACTATTCACTGGCAAATGTGCAAAACCAGTTTCTTTTTCAATAGTTCCCGCTCTTTGACGCTCGCGTGAAACTTGTTTCATAAGTTAACTATGCGAAAACACACGGGTTTTCTAAAAAGAATAAAGCTGTGCGGAGGCCTTTGAGTGTGTGTGTGCGTGTGCGTGTGCGTGTCGGAATAGACTGTATTCTGTCAGTAATTGACGTGAGAATTGCTGCTGATGTATGACCTTAAGTAATACCAAAGCGAAATGCCCAAACTCTATGATGCAAATACTTTTCTTTCCAAATTGAGCACTTTTACCCTCAACAAAACATACAGGACTTTCGTTTTCTGCCAGATAAGTTCAGCACTTTTTCACATCACTTTTTTCACTTAGTTATTTCCTCGTTACAATGTTCACATCTTATTGATTTGCTATTAGTTGCGGTAGCATGGTAACTCTAACCAAATAACTTCTTGCTATTGTGATGGCTCAGCAGTCGCTTCGAAATTATTTGGACATCAAGAAATGGTCATAAATAAATTTTTTACCCTTCATGTTCTTTCCAGTGCAGTACAAAGAAGGCCAAGAGAAGACCAATCCTTACGTGGCAGTAGTAAGGGCAAGAAACGTGCTTAGAGAGACTCTTGCTCAATTGACTTGGGTATTCAGCAGAAATAGTAGCGATTTCAACGCACAACGTAGAAGGACAATTAAGCCAAACACCTGGAATACATACACAGAAACAATACAGATATGCTCGTCCAGCTTAATAGTAAATTTTGAAGAAGTGCTGTCGACACTCAGCCTGGTGCTTCTGTTAGTGGGACTGGTTCATTTACAACAGTAGTTTCTCACTTTCTCTCCTCTATCGACGTATACGCAGTGATCGCTACAGCAGTCGGCGTCACCGTGCTCGTCACCCTGAGCGTCCTTCACCGGAAAGCTGAGTCAGGGCATGCGAAGGCCCACGAAAGCAGATCGATCAAGGAGAACTTCACGGTATCCACCAACCTGGGGTCCATCGAAGGCGTGATGCTCCAAGTGCTCGACAGGAGAGTGGTGGCCTTCTACGGTGTGCCATACGCTCGGCCGCCCGTGGGACCTCACCGCTACAGCATGCCCCAACGCCACGCTCCGTGGAAGGCTACATACAATGCCACCGAGAAGGAGGACGTGCGCTGCGCTCAGGTGGCTGGCGGCGAGTACTTCGAGCCACACTCAAACGCGTCTGCCGAGGAGGACTGCCTCAACATGGACATTTTCGTGCCCAGCAAAGCTTACGACCACACCTCTAAGTAAGCCCATTCTACCCAACGATTGCCTAAGGTTTAGCTAGGTAGGCGGTTGGTACACGTCGTTAAGTACACGATAAGAAGAAGAATGCAGTATTCGGGATGCACTTTTAGCAAGGGCACAATAACCTTCATCTATTTGGCTCGCGTTTTTTTTTCTTACTGCAGCAATTATATGGACACTGTCGACAGGTATTTGCAGTCGGCGTCGACGTCATGTTCCGAATAAAGTCCAAATCAATAACGTCCTCCCACGCATCGTATGTTTTACCCGCGGGTGAATGCGCGCGAGCGGGCATTGCGAAAGCGACTGAAGTAGAGGTGCACCGAGCCGACCAATCTACGTTGCACGGAGGGCGTATGGGATACCCCACGTGACTGGCCTGCTATGGACTGCTACTAGCGAAGAAAAAAACACCCCACCCGCCTTCAAGAAGCATCTAGAGGCACCAAGGAAGGAGGGGGGGGGGGGGGATGGCGTTCTTGAGCTGCAACTGCGCACTTTGATCTCAAGGGCGCGGTCGAGATTGTTGGTGTGCGCTTACTCGGCAGGCAGCAGCAGCAGAGGTCTCGTATATACTCTCCACTTGCTGCACTATCATTGCGAAGATACTATACGAAAAGTGGTTCTTTCGGTGGAGTGGCCACGTTTTCTTACACCAGAATTTTAGAGGGTTACGTGATATCAGATAGAAATGAGTTAGCGACCAGCATGAGCTCGTTAAGTTGTTACAACTCGGTGCTATCACATTCATTGCTTCGCCCTTTCGGTCAAACTAAAAAATTGCCTTCAGAAAAATTCCTTGTAAATACAGTAGGCTATAAGATCCATACCTCCCAGATAAGCTGAGAAGTTTGCTTGGCTCGAGCTGCGCCTGAGAAGTAAGCTGACAATTTTCGTACTGTTTTGTACTCATGCCGCCATTTTTCTCGGCCAGGTTCGCTTGATGCACACCTTCAAAACTGCCACATTAGTAATGCGAACCCACAGAGACGTCTTGTCGTCGCTGGTCTTTTGTTTTGCACTTAATACGTAGTGGCAATAGAGCCGCTTTTCGAAACAGCATATGCATGTACTCAGTATGCTTTCCAGAGCCACACTTCTGGTATACTTTGCTTCATGAAATCGTCAACTTCGTCATGCCCGTTTTAAGGACTCTTTTGAGAACGAGCTCGTGAAATGTGAGCACAAGCATTTTAGCTTACATGGTGTACATTCCGTTGCTACGACTAACAAACAACCTTACTCACAATGCCACGTGAAATACCAGCATAATAGCTCTAGAGGACACTGCATTATGACGAATTTTCACCGACACACCTGTATGTTCTGCAATAACAGCAGTTAGACACTGCTGAATTATTGCGGGCATGTTCTCAGTAACACCAAGGGCATGCAAAACGTACCAAGTACATATGCAAGGTAGAGGTAGCGAACGAGATCCTTCAGGAGTCAGCAGTTCCTGTGAAAGAATACCAGAAGCTAGCCTAGGCCACTAGACCTATAATGGCAGCCACCACTATTAGTCCACTTCACTTAAGATTGCACTTGTGGTTCCTTTCGGAAAGATCGTTGCTTGTCTCTCGGGAACTTGTGCCAATCTTTCCGGCTGCTTCACTCACTCGGTATTGACAGTTTGAGGTTTCCCCAAAATTTTTTTAAAATAAGCTGTTGGAAACTTCATGCAAAACCTTTTTTTTATTATAAGGCACACCAAAGTGGAATGATACTTAACACGACATGTTTATTAAAGGGATTTATTAAGCGCCCTTTTTTGTATTTTGCAAAATACAAACATTCCGTTTATGTGAGCATGCGAGATTTATCAGGCGTGACGGCGTCATCACTTAGATGCCGTCCGATTTATGAAGACAAAGCTATTGAACTATCAGTACTCGCTTCAAAACAGCTTGCATGTTTCGCCCATTGTTTAAAAAGAACGAGTTTTTCTCGCTGGTTTGTTATATTGTGTGACGCTTTGCAACTATCCCTTTCGCATGCTGCTGTACGCTGGGCCGTTAGAGCTTTTAAGTTGTCGGCCGTCTTTTGGTCGTTGCGGCTATGGATTAGTATCGGTTGTATATAAGTCATGAAGTTTCGTTGTGTGTCTGTATATTACAAAGACAGGTGAAAGTTTCGCCATAGTTCTGAGTGAATGAATGCATTAGCAACAATTAAAATGTTACACGACTTGATGCACTATGAAGGCAGAGCTCGGCCGTGCAACAGCGACCGACGAAGCGCAAGCTAATCAGAATGTTCGTGCTTGGCCTCTGCTCATAGCGATATCTTTTCATCACGAGCTCACAGCGCGCCTCTCAATAATCTTAGCCCCACGTCTTCGGTACTTGTTGTTAGACTCGTGGATGATTATTCCTGCAGTTTGACGCGGCAGTTTTCTGCCAAAAGTGCAAAAAAAGTTCTTGTTCTTGCTGAAGGATGCCTAGGCCCTTTGTACACCTTTCATAAACTTCCCAGCTAAGCGAATATTCGTGTTATTGACGTTAGTTTCATTTTTGTAAGCAAGCCACATGTGCTAAGGCTATGAAGAACGAAAAAACAAGAAAATTCTTTTATTGAAACAATTCGTTAGGAATAGTGAAAAACACAATTGACAAAGTATGCCTCAAAAATTACCGGGAGCAGCCCAGCCACAACCGAATCAGCCAAAGCTTCTGTCAGGAAACAGTGCGTCTAATCGAAGCAGGTTCCTGCGGAGAACTGATTGTTCCCATACCTCAGAAGCTTCTTGGGAATGTGAAAGCTGCTTCTTTGGCAAATGCCTGCTGCTCCTAATTAAAAAGACAAAAAAATTGTCGTGATCTTTCGCAATTATACGTTGTCTTACATCATCAAAAAGATTGCTCGAGAAGCTGATGTTAGGGTTTTGTTTTCTACACCATGGATACTTGCTTCAGTGCGCAAACTTGATCCACACAGTAAAGAAAAAAACTTGTAAAAAATAAGGAGCAAGTAAAAAAAAAACAGCCCGCGACTTTCGGATGCAAGGTCACACGTTCGATATCTGCCAGCAGCAAGTTGTGTTTGTGTCCACATTCTTCAAATCTATAGGAGACCATCGCTGGATAGGTGGAGCGTCGAAAAAAAGAACTTGGCGGAGTGTCGCGACACAACTCAGCTGCTCGCTCCCAGACGACCAGCCGCACTGTACCACTGTGAGAGCACGCGCGTGCGCCACTGCCATGCCTTATTCTGGAACGAACAGCTCGAAAAGCCATTGCGCCAGTAACATTGCACTGGGTTTAGAAAAATAACTTTTTCGAATGCTACTCTCTCATAAAAAGCACTAAAAATTGGAAAGAAACCCTGCAAAGCTGACTGCATGCGTCTTTGCCTACCGCATCGAAGGGACAGTGCTTTGCCGTGATGACCACTCCCTCGTCATCATTTTATGGTTGCGCGTTGGGTTTAGCGCTAATGCCAGTGCTGGCTGACATGCCCCCGTTGATAAGTTCGCGTTGCGACGATACCACACTGTCAACATCTGTAGTGAAACTAAACAAAAAATAGAGTAAGTGGTAGCTGCGTCAAATTTGGTGGGGCATTGCATGTATGCCCTGTCCGTGGCATGTATGCGTGCGGACGTGATCAAGTATACCACCGTGACAGCACAGCACGTGTGGTGTCGTGCTGCTATGCTTAGGCGCGGAATTTGATTAGCGACCACGGCGGCTGCACTTCGATGGCGGTGAAATGTACAAAGAATATATGTGCGCATTGGAGAACCGCGAGCGGTTCACTACAGCTTGCCTCAACATGAAAGCCTAGAAATTATTGTTGTCCTATAGACACCTTTATTTTAAGCCGGTATAGGCAAGCGGAAAAACTTAAACTGCGTGTTAGGCGAACTAAACGACCAGTAAAAATCGAAGGAATTTGACACTTTTCTAGCAAGCCGTACATTCCAATGTTAGTTAGCCGTGGCAGCCAGTGATAAAAAAAACTTACCGCATCATCTGACGCCGAAAGCTAAGCTTCGAGTAGTTCGCTGATTTGTTCGGAACAAGAACCCTGTCTTTCGCACAAATGAAGCAAAATAGAGGCACCTTGGTATTGAGTGTTCACGGTGAGAGTATTTTTTATAACAGTTCAGAGGCGTATAGGTGAACTTTCCCCCGCACAAATCTTGTGGACAAGGCAGCTTTCCTTTACACGCAGCTTTTTACACATAAACTGGCTACCTGCCTATCGTATCATGCACTTCACGTGGTGGCATCAGATGGAGTTTGGTGGGAGAGTTCAAATGGATGGATGCATGAGAAACGTTGTTAGTCCTGAGGCGCACGATTCAGTGCTCAGGGGGCCAGATAAAACAATCACATATGCCGTATGCTACGCAACTACGCTTGTTCTATTTTCGGCAAAACGCCACTTATATTCGACTGTTTGGCCCTGCCTTCCACTGGTGGCCGTCCTCACTATCGAATAAATATAACAGACATGCGCCATTCGGTTTAGAAACGAGCCCAACAGCACTAGACGAGAGTGCAAGAGCAGAACATACTTTGCTCGCCTGACCGCTTGGATGCAACACAGTCCTCATTTTACTCCCTTCCTTTGCTCTATACATCCTCCCTCTTTCTACGTATCGTTGCACACGAATGTGCAGCAGTACCGCCAGTGACCTTTGGTTTTGTTACGGTGATGCGCGCCCACACCGCCTCTACCAGCCACCACTCTCGTTTGCGAGAGGCGGAGATGTGTGCGCTTTGACCGCCACACAGTAAAAATTTTTACACCCAGAAGGGTGTAAATGAGCTTGTCCCGTGGACGACACCCTAAGGGTGTTAATTCAGCACCTTCCAAAAAGGGTGCTTTACCATGCACCCTTAGAATAGGGTGTACATGTAAAAAAACTGTAGGGTGTTAAAAAACACCCTTAAGGAAGGGTGCCTTCGATGTCCATCACTTTTTTAGCACCCTCTGAGGAGGGTGCGAGAAGAGTGCACAAGGGTGTTGAGTGCCCATTGCAGGGGTGGCG